AACCTGGTACAAGGTTGCATTTATGATGGTTTTTTTTTTTTCTTCCTTCTCCTCCTCTTCTTCAAAGCTGGGGATGGAACCTCAGTCTTCATACATGCTGTATAACTGAGCTACAACCTGGCCCCAATAGACAGTTAACTAGATAAATGGATGTATCGGTTACAGGAAAGGGGCCCTCACACACATTATCTGGGTCATAGGAATTGTTGAGCCATCTTAGGCCAAGCTCAATAACTGAGCTCAAGAATAACTTTTGTTATTTCTTGGAAAGTGCCATGGAGTGTAATTTTTTCTCTTGGTCCTCCCAGCTGAATTAAATCTTTTTCATTGATGAGCATCACTTGTGAGAAGTTATGTAATTTTTACTAAAACAAAGATTTTATTTAAAAAAATAAAGGAAAACCATTTTTTACTATAGGGAATGTAGAATTTGTGAAGTTGTATGAATTCTTTCCTTCCTTTGTCTGGGACTCCCCTGAACACATCAGGAGCCCAGTGGAGTCCAGGGCTCCCTCCTCCTGCTTCCCCAATGGCTTCAAGTTTATTGAAAGACCCAAAAGGTTGTGTAGGGCTCAGAATTAAAATCAAGGTAGGGATGATTTTTTATGCAAAATGATGGAGATGTGCATTTTGTTGCCTTGATAAAACCATGACCAAAACTAACATACAAGTGTTGAAAATGGGGAGGTATTTTAGCATACAGGTCATAGCCCATCACTGAGGGAAGCTGAGGCAGGAGTTCAAGGTAGGAACAGAAGCAGAAATGGTGAAGAAAAGTTGAGACTGCCTACTAGCTTATCTCCCATGGCTCTCACTCAGCTGCTTTCTTTCTTTCTTTTTTCTTTCTTTCTTTCTTTCTTTTTTTTTTTTTTTTTTTTTTTTTTTGAGACAGAGTTTCTCTGTAGTTTTGGTGCCTGTCCTGGAACTCACTCTGTAGACCAGGCTGGCCTTGAACTCAGAGATCCACCTGCCTCTGCCTCCAGAGTGCTGAGATTAAAGGTATGCCTGGCCATGTCTATCAGCCGCTGAATGACCATTAAAATCCAAATTTAAAAATTTAAAGTAAGGAGTGAAAAAGATATGGCAGCTTTTGGTGGGAGAGAGGGCATTTCCTCTATTCTCCCTTTTTGTTTTATTAGATAAGATTTGAGCGTCCGATTGACTCGTTCCACAATGCCTTGCCCTTGTGGATTATAAGGTAGACCAGTGAGGTGTTTGACACCCATCTGTTGACAAAAATGCTTAAATTTTTCAGAAGTATATGCAGGTCTTCAATTTTTGAGGCATGCCCCAAGCACTCCAGGCTTCGAGGCAGTGCTGGATGACATGAGAGGCCCTTTCCCCTGTTAGTGGGGAGGCATGGATAATACCCGAGCAGGTATCCACAGAAACATGTAAATATTTAATTTTTCCAAAAGACGACACATGAGTGACATCCATTTGCCATATCTGTAGAGGCCGAAGGCCTCGTGGGTTAATGCCCACATGAGGTACTGGAAGAAATTCAGAACAATTTTTGCATTGCAAGACTATTTCCTGTGCTGATGCTCTGGAAATAGAAAAACGCTTGCGCAGGGTTTCTGATGTTACATGAAATAATGAATGAAATTTAGTGGCTGCTTCTATAGGATCTAAAATAGCAAAAGCTGCTGCTCGAGTGGCCAAATCTGCCAGATTATTCCCTTGTGCCATTGGCCCGGGCAGACCTGAATGGGCACGGATGTGGGTAATGAAAACAGGATATTGTCTTGCTAATAAACATTTTTAGATCTCCTTAACATCTCAGCCACTGTACTAGAAGGCTTAATTAATCCAGCTAATTCTAAGGTTTTAACAGCATTGACTACATAAACAGAGTCAGAGACCACATTCAAAGGTCCAGGAAACACCTTTAATACCTCCAAAACTATGTTACATTCCACCATTTGTGGGGAGTCTGGTGCATATCTGTGAGTGGTAACAACTCCTTCATGTACATAAGCCCCTATTCCTGTTTTTGATCCATCTGTATACACTATCTCCCCATCAGGTAGAGGCGTGGCACTTACCATTTTTGGAAAAATCAAAGGATGTGTTCTAGCAAATGTTAATAAGGGATGTTTGAGATAATGGTTATCAAAAGTTCCCAAGAAGGTAGAGGCAAGAATTGCCCAATCATCACATAGGGTCTGAATTTGTTCCATATTATAAGGTGTAATAATTTGCTTAGGAAACTCCCCAAAATGGGTAAGAGCTGTTTTTAAGCCCTTCAGGGAAATTTTTGCAACAGCAGTTGGATAATATTCTATAGTTTTTGCTGGGGAAACTTGAGGGTGTATCCAAATTAATGGACCATTTTGCCATAAGACTGCAGTTGGCAGTAAAGCGGTCTGTAACACACAAAGATCAAAAGGCTCCTGCGCTGAGATTCTAACTAATTGTGCTGCAGTGATCGCCTTCTCCACCTTATGAAGAGCTTCTGCAGCTGCAGGAGATAGGGTTCTTAATGAAGTCAATTGTGGATCCCCTTCAAGCACATCAAACAATGGTTTTAACTCTGCTGTGGGTATTTTTAAATAAGGCCGTAGCCAATTAATATCTCCTAGTAATTTTTGAAAATCATTCAAAGTTTTAAGTTGATCTCTTCTAATCTCCATCTTTTGAGGTTGTATAATCTCTGGTCGCACAACAGCCCCTAAGAACTGTCCTACTTCTGACCTTTGTACTTTCTCTGTAGCTATGCTCAGACCATATTTCTCCAACCATTTTACCAAATCTGCATAAGCCTTTTCAAGCTCTTTCTCATTATTCCCACAAAGAAGAATATCATCCATATAATGAATAATTCTTAGAGAAATATATTTTTCCTTAACTGGTGCTAATGCCTGTTGTACATAAAGTTGACACATAGTGGGGCTATTGGCCATGCCTTGGGGCAACACCTTCCATTGAAACCTCTCATCTGGTCCCTCATGATTAATGGCCAGTAAAGTGAAGGCAAATCTAGCTCTATCTTGCTCAAACAATGGAATAGAGAAAAAACAATCCTTAATATCTATTATAATAACTTGCCAATGCTTAGGTAAAGCTGATAAAAGTGGAAGGCCCCGTTGGACTGGGCCAAACAGTTGCATTTGTGCATTAATGGCTCTGAGGTCATGAAGCAATCTCCATTTTCCAGATTTCTTCTTGATAACAAAAATAGGAGTATTCCAAGGAGAGTTGGATCCTTCCAAATGTCCCAAATCTAATTGCTCTTTTACTAATTGATAAGCGGCCTCTAATTTCTCCTGTGAAAGTGGTCATTGAGGTACCCATATTGCCGCTTCAGTTATCCATGGTATGGGCATCCCTTCCCCAATGGCCCCTAGGAAAAACCCAATCCTGCACGATCATTTTTTGAAATGACTTGAACAGGTTCTTTAATGCCTTGGTACTGCTTTCCTATCCCTAGCCCTGGTATATATCCTAACATCATATTTTGTGTAGAGATGGAATATTCATTCATTAATTTTAATCCTAAAGCTTTTAAAATATCTCTTCCCCATAGATTTACCGGCAAGGGAAGAACATAGGGAGTAAACAACCCTGACTGACCTTCTGGTGCCTTCCATCTTAGGGATTCAGAGCTGATAGCAGGAGTGGCTTCATACCCTAGTTCCTGCAATGAATATTCTGATTGGGTTATTGGCCATTTTGAAGGCCACCAGGAGGTGGCAATGATGCTTTTATCAGCTCCTGTGTCCAAAATTCCCTGAAAATTCTTTCCTTCTATATTTAATGTTAATGTTGGTCTGGTATGAAGATCAACTGCAAGATAAGCAGAATCAAATTTATCTGAGTGGCCAAATCCTTCTGCCCCTCTGTTTTGTTTAATGGCCCCAAAATCCTCATGACAACTAGGAAGAATAAGTAACTGTGCTATGCGATCACCCGCAGAGATGGGAAAGATCCCACGTGGCGATGAGCACATGATCTTGAGTTGTCCCTCATAATCTTGATCTATAACTCCAGGATGGACAATTAAACCTTTTAGGGTGGTAGATGACCTTCCTAGTAATAGTCCTACTGTATTTTTTTTTTTTTTTTTTTTTTTTGGCAGAGGGCCTGAAAAATCAGAAGGAACAGGTTGTACACCCATTTGGGGGGTCAAGACAATTCTAGTGGTGGCACAGAGGTCCAATCCTGCAGAACCTGCAGTGGCTCTCCGTGGGGCTTCCTCCTTTCTAGGCTCAGGGGGGAGCTCATTGCCCCATATATTTGAGGGCCCTGAGGGCGGGGGCCCCGCAGGGCGTTTTTTGGCTCAGGCAATGGTTTACCATTAATGTCTTTGGCTGACTTACATTCATTTGCCCAGTGTTTGCCTTTTTTACATCAGGGACAGATTCCTGGCATCCTCTTAGGTCCTGATATGCATTCCCTACAATTCTTTTGTATATGTCCCATTTTGCCACATTGAAAACAAGTCTTGTTCTTGTCTGCCATATTGCCCTTTCATTGTCCTTGTAAAATGGCGGCCGCCAGCCCTGCATTGGTCAAAGGACCTCCTATTTCTCTACAAGCCTTAAGCCAAGCTTGTAAGCCTTTTCCTTTCCAAGGAGTTATGGCTTGTCTACATTCCTTGGTGCATTGTTCATAAACTAGTTGTTCTATTAAGGGCATAGCCTGTTCTTGATCTCCAAAAATCCTTCCTGCGGCCTCCATCATACGTGCTACAAAGTCTGAAAATGGTTCATTTGGTCCCTGAATGACTTTTGTAAGGTTCCCTGATACTTCCCCTCTATTAGGTATTAGGTAGTGCCTTCCAGGCCTTAACAGCACATGTGTTAATCTGAACATAGACCTCTAAAGGATGCACTGTCTGATTATTTGTCCATTGTCCTTGTCCAGTGAGCATTTCAAATGTCCAAGCGGGCTGCCCCGCTGCCGCGTTAGTGCGGGCTTGTGATTGACTCAAATCATGCCATATGGCCTTCCACTCTAAGTATTGTCCCATAGTGAGACAAGCCTTCACAACGAACATCCAGTCCGAGAGAGTCATGGCCACTGCGGACAGTCTTTCTATTTGCGACAGAGTGTAGTTCGCGCTGATACCATAAGTGCGAACAGACTCTACCAATTCTTTAACCTGTTTATGCTCAAGAGGGTGATGGGTACGATTCCCATCTTCCTCGAACACAGGAAACATCTGGGTTATCTCATGTCTGGTTTCAGGTGAGCAAAAGGAGTATTTACATTCCTTCTCTGCATAAGGAGGAGGCACAGTAGGGACTCGTGCAGCCTCCTCCTCCAAATCTTCCTCCTCAGAGGGCGATAGTTCCTCTTCTGAGGGGTGACTGGAAAGCTCTAAAGCCTCCAATTCCTCTAAAGGATAAAGATGTTTTTTCTTTCCTCTGCGAGATGGATCCGTCTCGCAGGGCCCTTTCACTTTCTCTTTATTATGTTTTTTCTTTTTACGTGCACCCATCTTTTCTTCATGTTCTGCTTCTGACATGCTTTCTTGAAAATCTGATAATGGTCTAGTGCCTGCTTTTAGTTGCCTATCATGTGCTTCCCCAAGACAAAACAAATACAGTAAAAACAAGCAGGCAACCAAACGCACAATAATCAACCCTTCAATGGCAGGATCAAGCCCAAACAGTAGCATGTCTATCAGAACTTACCTTATTTTGTTACCTTTGTGCCACAGTTCTGAATCCTCTCCAGTCTCCTGAAGGGTCCCCCGTGTGCCGTTGACGTCAGGTTCCTGGGTTTTGGCACCACTTGTCGATGCTCAACAACAGGATTCTTCTGCAGCTATGTTTATTGCACGACTCATTACAGCAAGTTGAGGGAAGACCCTGAGGAGGAAAAAGGGCTCTGCTTATATAGAGGAGCTGTGTCGGTTACTGACAGTTGCAGAGGAGCTGTGTCCATTACTGACAGGTGCAGCGGAGCTGTGTCTATTACTGACAGGTGCAGCCCGCAACGCTCTTAATGGTCACCCCATGACGTGGATCGCACATCCGTGCCTTGCTGGCTTATGGACAGGAAACCGGTGCCATCTTCGGGAATGGCACCGGTGGCTCTCTACAAATATGCAAAAGTCCAATCCAATGTGAAATATTTAAAACTAGTAGTTGCTTTTTAAGAGTAGATTCAATAATCTCCCCATTTTTTTTCTTTATCTGCGTTTCTCTTTTTTTTTTTCAAAATAAAAACCTTGAATCTAATCCCCTTTGTCCAAATTTCTTCCTGACTGTGACCAACAACACTTTGTAACCAATCCTCCTAAACAATGACAAATATCCATAATCCAATGAGTGACCGAAAAACAGTCCACCCACCTCTTGGGAATGTTGATGTCATGTTCTTAAAGTTACTTCCTGCTGTCTGGGGGCAATGGCATCTTTGAAAATAAAATTTTGGGTTAATTGTCTGGTCCTGAAAGAGGTAGCTGTATTATTTTTGTCCAGTCTCTGCATAATGGGAAAGTGTAGGCTCAAGTCCTGGCTAGAGTAATCTGTGGGGCTGGATCATCTCAGCTAGCCACCTCAAATTTGTTCTGAGCAGTCTGTAGTCCAAAGTTGATCAGCTTAATAGTGTTGTCATAGTACTGGTGAAATAAACATTGTGGGGCCCCTAAGAGTGACTTCAAATGTCACTCTTAGGCATGGTCATAGTTCACTGTAGAAAACTGATAGACTCAAACCCAAAATCATGTATGGAAGATAGATGAATCTTTTTTTCTAGAATTGTTTAGTTAATATCATGACAAAAATTATGGGATTAGTAGCAATACAATAGTCCTAAATATTTGTTTTTCTTCTGTTCCAGTTTCAGCAAGGAATGGGGACTCAAGGGCCTCTTTTTCTAGGTGACTTCTACAGAACTGTTTTCCTATGCCCTGGGTAGAGGTGGCCTTTAACATGTTCTAACCCCATTTCTTCAATGGTACAATGACAGAATGGAGGACTTTCAGTAACCAGCCTTCTCAAAGAGATCATATGAAACAACATGACCTCAAGCCAATGGTTTACTTTGCCTCCCCACCCCATACCCCATGACCAGATGTGGCCACTTGTTTCTGGGACATCACCAGCTCTGTGTCCTCATATACCAGCCCAATGAGATGTGAGGCAGGTGGCTTGCATAGATACACCTGGCTTACATGTTGGGCTTCAGATGCTTAATGTACAGCTAGTCCCAGCCCAGTCCACAAAAACTTACTCTACATCTATGGCTGCTCAGCTATCACTGATAAGAAACCATAAGGACACAGATGAGCTTGTGGCATCCTGGGCCTCTGCCAAGCCCCAAAGTCCTAAGGAAAGGGACTTAGATTTCCATTTCCTCTTTAGATCCTCAGATACCGGTTTGAGCCCCTGGTTTCTTCCAGGGCCTGAGTGGGTGACATATAGAGGTGCAGGAGAAATAGATCAGGGAACATTGTTCATTTTTTTTGTTTTTTGTTTTTTTGTTTTGTTTTGTTTTTTTGAGACAGGGTTTCTCTGTGTAGCCCTGGCTATTCTGGAACTCATTCTATAAGACAGGCTGGTCTTGAACTCAGAGATCCACCTGCCTCTGCCTCCCGAGTGTTGGTACTAAGGTGTGCTCAAAGGCTACTGAAGGTAGCCAGGAGAAGGGTATTGGTGGGAAAATTAGACAGGCAAAAGAAAGGTCAGTCTTGCTTTACAGGAGGCCTGGGGGTGTGTGGGTGAGGTTACTCTGGCTGGTGCTTTCAGGGGTGCAGGGTGGCAGGAGGTGAGGCTATGAACATGGCAGAGCCCAGTCTTGGAGGGTCCTAGGGTTGGCTGAGGATCTTGGCTTTCTGCTTGAATCTGAAATGTTTCCCAAAATTTTTGAGCTAAAGGCTCAGCTGTGTATTGCTGGGCCACAGAGATGGGATCACAAAGACTCTGAGCTCATCTGTAGCTTACTTAATTCACTGATGGATTCATAATTGGATGGCATGGGGCTGGAGAGATGACTCAGAGGTTAAGAGCATTTGCTGCTCTTCCAGAGGTCCTGAGTTCAATTCCCAGTAACCACATGGTGGCTCACAACCATTTATAATGAGATCTGATGCCCTCTTCTGGCCTGAGGGCATACATGCAGACAGAACACTGTATACATGATAAATCAATCTTTAAAAAAATAATTGGATGACATTTTTGGGAGGTGATGCAACCCTAGAGGGGGCTTAGTTGGGGGAAGTAGGTCACTGAGGGTGTGCCCCTGAAGAGTGGGTCTTATTCTCAGCCCATTCTTCTGCCTTCCTTTGCCTCCCAACTCCTTTCATTTTTCACTGTAAATTGCACCCATAGTTTCAGAAGAAACACAGGAAGTCCACACAGCCTGGGCCTCACCCTCTCCAGTGTGCAAGTTTTGTTTTGTTTTGTTGAGACAGTTTCTCTGTGTAGTCTTGGCTGCCCTGGAACTCACTTTGTAGACTAGGCTTGGCTTCAAACTCACAAGAGATCCACCTGCCTCTGCATAGCCAACTAAGTTAGCCTTGGGCTGACAGCTATGAACACAGATCCCGGCTGCTTGTCCCACCAAGGACACAGGTGGGCTGAGAGGTGGAGTGCCAGCCCCACACTCAGACAGGGCAGGAACATGAAGAGCTGTAGGCTATCTTTTTCTGTGTGGGTGCACTGGTCTACTTTTTTCTATTGGTAGCAATATCCTACAGATGAGGAAACAACCCCTATAAAATGTCAGGTTGGAGAGGATAAGCCTAGGCAGTATGGATTTCCTCTGCTTGCTTCCTTCCTTGCTTCCTTGCTTCCTTGCTTCCTTGCTTCCTTGCTTCCTTGCTTCCTTGCTTCCTTCCTTCCTTGCTTCCTTCCTTCCTTCCTTCCTTCCTTCCTTCCTTTATGCAGCTGTGCAGGATCCATGGAACAGTGGGTAGAGAGGAAAGTTAAAAAAGAGGCTGTGGTTCCGTTCTCTGTCCTGGTCCTGTGGGTGGAGTGCAATCTGGGTGCTGCAGGCTAATGTTCCCCTGCTTTCAAACGGACAGTCAGCCTCACCAGAACCCCACCAGAGAGGTACTCAAGATCTCTCTCAGCTCTGCCAAAACTCCATGACACTGTATTACTTCCCAATCAGGGTCAAAAGCCCAGCAGGTGTGTGTGTGTGTTCTGTGTGGCCAAAGCACAGTGGGGTCTCTTGGAGCCTCCCCATCTATTGAATCTAATCTTGCCTATCCAGCAGCTGTCTCCACATTATACTGCTATATTCCTTCCTCCTTAGATGAGGTGCTATGTCCCAACATGGTGGCCAAGGCTCTCACACTACTAGGAGCTGGAAAAAGGCCCCTGATCCCAGATCTAGTTGCTGATAATGCAGCAGGGTCCTCCCTCCAGTAGGGTAAAGCATGGTGAAAAGCAATAATTTTGGCACTTTTATCTCCTTCCTCCATGGTTTTGTCCCTTTGGAACTTCAGCTTCCTCTTCCATAAAATGGGGTGGCTATCAATCCCTTCTTGTGGTTACATGTTACCCTTCCTTTGAACACCACACCAAGACTTCTATCCTAGCAACTGCGCTAGGACCTACAGGTCTGCACAGGAGGAGGTCATGGGATCTGGTGCTACCTCCTGGGTCTGTTCCTTGGCATCAAGGCTGAAAGTTGCTGTCAAATATGAAAGTCCCTGTCTCAGCCCTATCTTTCCCTGAAGCTGTGCACAGCACACATCCCTGCAAAAGCTCCCAAATGTGTCAGTGGTGGTGGTTAGTGCTTAGAAGGTCTCTAGGTATTTGCACGGAAAGCTCATAGATGGCTAGAGGGCAGGTAGCTTGAGTTGTTTTTGGAGAGAGTCAGGTAAAGAGAAAGGCTGGTGTAAGAGAGTGTTCTTGTAATGCTTGGGCAGGCTCATATGAGGTTGCTTGAAGTTGGTGCTGCTTTCTTCTTCATGGCTATCCCACCTCACCTGAGGCAGTTTCCCTGCAAAGCCGTTAATTGAAGTCCACTGTCATCTGGATACCTCTTTCTGGAGGCCCCAAATTCAATTCAGTAAGCTCTGCACAGCATCTTCTCCTACCCTAAGTCTACCTTCTCTCTTACCCAGGCAAGGTCTCTGTACCTCCTTTGCACCCTGGACAGTGTATTAGTAATTGTTTCCTGAGGTGTTACCCTAAATATTTCCCACCTTGCTACCAATTCCCTGACCATAGCCCAGTGTCAGTATGAATTTCTCTCTGCTGA